GTAATACATTTGTTGGCATAAATGTGATATTCTTTGGTTTTGTTTCTCACAAAGTAAATAAAATAAAGTTGAACATTTTCGTTTTTTGAAAAATATTTTTCAAATCTGGCAATGTTGCTCAGAAATATGAACGGTAAATTTACTGGAATTTAAAATTCTTTTGCAAAACGTACAAAATGGAGCGTAAATATGGGAATATTTATAAAATCTTATACATATACATAAATTAAGAACTTTGCAGGATAAAACAAAGATATAGGCATATTCATACCTTCTGTTTACTTCATCGAGAAGTGCTGCTAATCGCAATAATTCGTCCTTAGAGCTTGAGCTGCCCATCGCGAAAATCAGATTTATAATATATGTATAAATTTAGAAAGAGGAATGCGTAGAGTGCCGTTAATTTGAGCTCGTCACATGGCAACAATGTTTCTTGCTAAACCGCACTATACCGCACCGTGTCTGTTTGAGTGCCTTTGCGTATGTCGTTACCGCGTATCGTACGGGATTATACCGCGCTGTACCGCACCGCGCCTGTTTGAGCAGGCCTTTAAANAAAATCAGATTTATAATATATGTATAAATTTAGAAAGAGGAATGCGTAGAGTGCCGTTAATTTGAGCTCGTCACATGGCAACAATGTTTCTTGCTATACCGCGGGATTATACCGCGCTGTATCGCACCGCGCCTGCTAAGGGGGCATTGCGAGAGAGACAACTGTAAGTTTATCGAACCTTGTATTATTGAATCATAAGGTTTGTTCCTCACGCTTTCCGGGCTGTTTCGGTAATTAGAGCGTAAAAATAAGTTACTCTCTCACAAGTGTCAAAAATGTGTCAAAACATGCCAAACGTGCCCAGAGCGTGAGGAACGCAAAAAACCACTTTTCGTGCCCGGAATCCACAAATCAGCTGTTCCACTAGTTTTTATTTTTGCGAATTGAAAAGTGCGGGAAAAAGTTAACGTTTCTTTAATTGATGTTTAATTTAGCTTAGTGAAAACATTTTCATTTTACATTCTTTATTTCAACTGCAAAATATGGAAAACACTTTAAATGTGAACTGTTCTCCAGCCACGTTTCAACTTGTTTAAAATGGTATGCAAAAAAAATATTAAAAACATAAACATTTCTAATGCACGTAAATATGTAAATGCAAACATTTTACAGATGAGACTTATAGGCAAATAGTTGCTTCGCAACTCATGAAAGATGAGGAGGGCAACATAAATGAGATGATCTTCTACCCAGCGATGTCGGCCGAAGCGATTAATAAAATTTATACAAGATCGAGGAAAGAGTTATTTGTATTTCATTTTTATTTTAGAAAATGTCCGACAGGAGCTAACTGGAGTTCCTGAGGATGAAGATTTCATCCCCATAGAAGCTGACAAAGGCGGTAATAAAAACTTACCTTTAATCGAAACAATTTTTACGTAGTTGGCTAGAAGCGCCTGTTAAACTTATGCTCTCACTCATAGAGGAGCTGAGGCCTAAGGTTGGCAAAAGCGTTAAATATAAACCCAAGTTGGCGATGTATAGAGAAATTTCTAATAGGATGGCTGAAAAGGGTTACATGTTCACTGTTACCCAAATTGAAAATAAATTTCGGGACCTCGAAAGGCAGTACAAAAAAACTGTCCTAAACAACAGGCAAAGTGTATATATGAGGCATTTATTGTCAAATTTATTTTAGAGAAGTTTATAATTAACTTGATTATTACAGTGAGCTAAGCCGAATCCTTGGAGAGAAAAATGGGTATCAACCCAGAGTTCGTACTGAACAGCGACGACGTCGAAGGCACTTCACTGGCGCAGTCAACCGTAGAGGAAGCGAGTAACGACTTGGATCGGCCGAATACAGGTATTATTTTTTAACATATATGTATCCACTAACAGCCGGTTTCACCAGCAATTTAAATGGAAAATGATTTTTTATTTTCTGTCAATTTCTACTTTTATTTAAGATGACATCCCGAGCTCTTCGCGCGATGTTTTTTTTACTTTTTTCAAAGATTGGTTTACGAAAAACTTGAACAACTGGGCCAAAAATGTTCTGATTTAGACTTATGGGATCTCAGTAGAAAGGTATTTTCACACTGTTTTTATTTCTGGCCAAAAAAAAAACGTCATTCGCGTCCCATCTTGTTTTTTCGAATACCATCCCATCTTAATTCAACTTTGAATGACGTTCGTTCATTCTACCTTTCTCTTCCATCCTTTGAATGAGTTTATTAGCAAAGAAATAAAAAGCATGAGAAAATACCTTTCCAACGACACCTCTTAATTCTAAATCGAAAGAGTTTAGGTTCAGTTATTCTAGTTTTTCCTATACCAATCTTTGAAAAAAGTTAAAAAACAGCATCAAAAATCTCATCATTACGATTCCGTTCAAAATTTTTTTTAAATATTTTTATGCAAATATTTTAAGCTTAAAGCGTTTAAAATATAATAGATTTTATAATTCCAATGGAAAAATAGTACCAATTTTTTTTTGTATGTATGTATATATATACATTAGACTGCATCACTCCCCATACAAAAAAAAATCGGTACTATTTATCCATTGGAATTATAAAATCTATTATATTTTAAGAAGTCCACGAAAATATTTCGAAAAAAAAAATAAGATTTAAGTGAGCTGGACCAATTTCAAAATACCTCCAAAAATGGACTTTTTTATGAATAAAAATAGTTTCTTAATTTTTTTTTTCTGAAAAAATCCCTTAAAATGACAAAAGCGTTTAAGCTTAAAAAATTTGCATAAAAATATTTAAAAAAAATTTGAACGGAATCGTAATGATGAGATTTTTGATGCTGTTTTTTAACTTTTTTCAAAGATTGGTATAAGAAAAACTTGAATAACTGAGCCCTAACTCTTCTGATTTAGACTTAAGAGGTGTCGGTGGAAATGTATTTTCACACCCTTTTTATTTCTTTGCTAATAAACTCATTCAAAGGATGAAAGAGAAAGGTAGGATGAACGAACGTCATTCAAAGTTGAATTAAGATGTGTTGGTATTTGAAAAAAAAAATTGCGACACGAATGAAATTTTTTTGGACAGAAATAAAAACAGTGTGAAAATACCTTTCTACCAAGATCCCATAAGTCTAAATCAGAATAGTTTTGGCCCAGTTATTGAAGTTTTTCGTAAATCAATCTTTGCAAAAAGTAAAAAAACAGCATCAAAAATCTCATTCTTACGATTCCGTTGAAAAGATTTAAAAATATTTGTACGCAGATTTTTTAAGCTTAATCTGTTTTGTCATCTGAGGGGACTTTTTTCAAAAAGTTCTTTAAGAAACTATTTTTATTCATAAAACACTCCATTTTTGGAGGTATTTTCAAATCGGTCCAGCTCACTTAAATCTTAATATTTTTCCCAAATATTTTGGCGAACGTCTTAAAATATAATAAATTTTGTAATCCCGCCGGAAAAAACCGCAACTTTTTTTGTTGATGCAGTCTAATATATATATATTTATTATTTCCCTTTAACAGAATAAGTTCACCATGCACCTATTTATTAGATGATGCATTTACAGTATATTTTTCCATTTTTAAGGCAGGTATCGCTAATGTGCAGGTATATTGGATGCATCTATCGGATCAGTTTCCTTATAAATGTTAACAATAATGCCGCTGATGCGCATTTCGGGGTAGTTATCCTAAATGTGCACTTCATAATAAAGGCGGCAAAGCAAAATATACTGTATTGGATTAAATATTTAGCGATTTATTATTTTTATATACAGTGCCGGGCAAAAGTATTGGCACAGAGAATTTTTCGCAAGATATGCAAAGTTTTTATTCTAATTTATTTTCAATATTTTTATACCCGAGCGCACTTGTGCACAAGGGTATATTAATTTTGTTCACATAACGGTTGTTTGTAACAGCCAAAACGAATCGAGATAGATATAGACAAATGTATACATAAATGATCAGNTTTACCAAGAAATACGTTTATGGTAAAATTTTGGAAAATGGGCGTGGCACCGCCCACTTATGATCACATATACGTATATCGGTAACCGTTCTACCAATTTGTACCAAACTCAGTGTGGTTATTGTGCTTGCCACATATAAGCAAAACGTTGAAAATTGTTGAAAACGGACTTAAATAACGGCCGCTTCTCATATAACGGTAAATTTCAGAAATGCTTGAAACTTCGATATTTCGAAATTGAAGGACGCTAATTTACTCAAAATTGATACACACCGGCTTACCATCTAGCGGAAGGTTTCGGAAAGGTGAAAAAACATATATTTAATATTTGCGCCGGGTATTTAATGTTCGGCTCCGCCCGAACTTAGACTTTCTTCCTTGTTTAATACAAATATAGTTTTTACTTCACCAAAATTCAAAAAAACAAATTCTCAAAACTTTATGCAAAACTCAGAAAAATGCAATAAATTTGCATACTAACTTGCAACTTTCTATTCAAATTTTTTAGAAAAATTCTAAGTATGCAGTTTTATAGCCAATCTAATTTTAGTATAACAAACTGCAAGTTTGAAGTTGTTAGAAAATCGTGTTGATTTTTTTTCACTCAGATTCTTCCATACAAAGTATGTTCGACAATTATTTTTTGTATGGAGAAAATGAACAACACCTTCCACTAAAATTAGATTGGCTATAAAACTGCATACTTAGAATTTTTCTAAAAAATCTGAATAGAAAGTTGCAAATTAGTATGCAAATTTATTGCATTTTTCTGAGTTTTGCACAAAGTTTTGAGAATTGGTTTTTTTTTTGTATTTTGGTGAAGTACAAACTATATTTGTATTAAAAAACATAGAAAATAAATTTGAATAAAAACTTTGCATATCTTGCGAAAAATTCTCTGTGCCAATACTTTTGTCCGGCACTGTATGTATATTTGTAGGAAAAATTAAAATAATTTATGGAATGTCTTTTAGACACACACAATATACATATATATAATAAAATAAAAGAAAAGGCGATTCATATAAAGTATAAAATACAGTCACAAATTTTTAATTTGGTAGTTGTTGGCAAATAGTGTTCCTTACAGCATTTCCTCTTGATATTTGTTCAGGCACATAACCTAAAACTCCTTCTTCATCTTGCATTACAAATTCCAGATCGTCTTCTTTAGCAATATTGTGTAAGACACAACATGCTCTTATAAAATGGCATACTTTTTTCTGACCCTTAAGTTTGCAGAAGTACAATTGTCTGAATCGCTGTTTTAAAATTCCAAAGCAGTGTTCTATGGCCACACGACCCGAGCTTAATTTGATGTTGAAATTTTTTTCCGCTCTTGTCAGGTGCCCATTGTCTCTGTAGGGTGTCACCAAGTGCTGAGTGCAAGGATAGGCAGAGTCTCCTAATAAATAATAATCTGAAAAAAGTATATAAATAATATAAAGACTTATTAATTAAAATTGTAGTGTAAATTGCGAACCTTTGCAATTTGTTTCTAATTTTCGGTACAAATTCGAGTTTTGAAAAACCCAGCTGTCGTGAGACTAGGGTGGCCAGATGCGCTGATTTAATCAGTACGTGTGCTGATTTTTTTCTATTGTTCTGATTTTCAAAAGCCCGAAATCAGTACGCAAAATCTACTGATTTTTTGGGTTTGTACTGATTTTGTACTGATTTTTACATTTAATACTTTTGCAAATTCGTGTAATTGACATTTACTTGAGGTTTACATGTTCAAAACAATGGTTTTTGGACACTCATACGTGTGAGCAGATTGAAAGCATTAATTAAATTTTTAACCATTATTAAAAAGGTGTCAGCTTGCAATTGTTTCGTTTCCTAGGATTTCGCAAAATAACAAACTCTTTGCATTCAACCCAACCCAATTTCACGATTTGCAGGTTTTACAGGATTTACAGAAAAAGCTGGTTTCGCCATTAATAAATCTTATGAAAGGTGGTGATGAGTTAATCATATATTAAGTATACTGAGAAGATGACAATATGAGATAATCTTTCGATTATAATTAAACATCCACTGAGAAATCGGTTGTCAGTATTTCAAACTTAAGACGACTACTGCTACGGTGCAATGTAAGTTCCAAAAATTTGGAAAAGGTGCAAACTACCGCCTCTTGGATATGATATATTAGCTTTACTTTGATTCTTGATGTTCGACCACCTGTAATTTTACTTGCACATACACATTTAACACTATTAAATTTCATTCGTACTCGAAAATTCGTTAGCGATAGTTCGGTAATATACCTTTTAGTCAACATTTTAATGTGAATGTTGTATTGTATATGTTTTAAATTTGTAGCTTAAAATATGCAAACAGATTCTGACTCGAGCTCGTCTTCTACTGAAACTGAATGGGCTAACATTTTTTTTATTTTCTCAATTCTTATAAATTTTCTAGAAAGTTTGAGACTTCAACTCACATGTCTTTTGTTATAGAATTAACTATATTTTTATAAAAAAATTAAATTAAGTAAGGAAAGAAAAAATTTTCAAAATCTGTCAATATATTTTACTACTATTTTCCTGATCACAGCTGTACATACATACGTAATACCATTGATTTGTTTTCAAGTAATGAATTTTTGAATTGATAATACTATACGTATTTAAAAGTCTATTAGTTATTTTTTTTTAATTAATGCGCTGTTATTTGGTTGTTATATTGTTAATAATAAAAAATACGCTTAAAAATGAGCTGATTTTTATGGCTCTGTACTGATTTTTGATCCCAACTGTACTGATTATGTCCCTATAATATCTGGCCACCCTACGTGAGACGATCCCGGAATCCCACAAAAATATCTATGAACTTCTTGTGCTCATTGCATACGGCTTGCAAAGTTATTGACATATTCCCTTTGCGATCGATATAGTCATCCTTCCGTTCACTAGGAGGATCAATGACGATGTGTGTACCGTCGATACAACCTGTAAGCACAAAAATTTATATGAGTTTTTCCAAAACATATTAAGGTTAGTATGTAAATCAGGTTTGTTGCGAATATTCGCATTCGCATTCGCAACCGCGGAACTTCCGCAAAAAATTTTAACATTCGCATTCGCTTTCGCATTCGCAATAATCAATGCGGAGCTTTTGCGAATGCGAATATTGTGCAAGTGCCCCAAAAAATATATCAAACCACATTGAGCGCATGGAATGGAACAACAAAACGGATTTGATGGCTTATGGTACCGACAGCGGAGAGTAATTAATTGTGACTGCCTGTAACTATAGGAAAAGCTAAGCTAAGCTAACTAATAAAAAAACTAATTACAAGCTGTTCATTGCAGGTGAACCTTTCCAAGAGGTCACCCGGGAATTAAGCAAATCTGAGATCTTCACCGTCCGTGATTCCAATAATTGAAATTATTTAAAAAAACGGGGTACCTTTTTAACAAAATAACAAGATTTTAAACTAATTCTGCTGGCAGCCACGACTTTCAAAACAGAATTTTCTTCGAAATTTTCATTCTTACAAAATAACAGTTTATTAGCCATATCCACCTATTCACAACATCGCGACGCTATAAGCTTCAAACCAGTCACAGAAGATAGGATTAAAAATGAATTACAAAAACTAAAATCGAAAAACGCTGATGTCGGCACAGGTTCTCCANTTCATTCCTACAAAATAACAGTTTATTAGCCATATCCACCTATTCACAACATCGCGACGCTATAAGCACACATTTTTCAAACCAGTCACAGAAGACAGGATNGCACAGGTTCTCCAAATTCTGAAACAACTAAAAGAATTGGTTCTCCAAATTGGAACACAACGGTGTTTAAACAGCGATATTGCCATGATGCTAGATTGTGAAGATGAAAGTCAGGAGGATACATCCGAAATTTGCAGCCCCGATGCAATTCTCGAATTATTGAACCGCAACAAAAAAAAATAAATGAAGTCCTCTCAACTGGTGCAGCGTCAATCGAAAAGAATTTACAATTTTGTCAAGTTTCAAGTTTTTCAAGTTTGTCGCCTCGAGCGAGTAGTTATTTAGTGGCGCAGGTTTGATTTACGACCCTTTAAAAACGTTTTNTGTTTACCTAAATCATCTAATGTACTCACCAAAAAATATTTCTTAAAATACAGTGAAAGGTCGCATAGACGGACGCTCTAATAAGCGGACACATTATTGGGAACGAACAATCGAGGTATTTCGAAAACGGTTCACGTGGTTCAAAGTTTTCCCTTAACATACATAAAAAATATTCCGATGAATTCATAACCATCCTCCTTTTTTGGAGTCGGTTTAAAATATTTTTAAACAAACTATGTTCACTAAAATACAAAAACAAAATAAGTCGAGGCTTTTTTTAAGCTTATAATTTTCATTGGAGGTAGTATAAACTTCACACAGCGCTCTTGAAACAGCGGCAGGGGTTATTAAAAGGAATGGAAGAAATTTAAATGAGGAATTATCCCAACAAATCTGAAAGTCCCGTATTTAAGAAAAGTTGCACAACTTCGACAACTTTTACGCGATTGCAATAAATGAGATATCAGTTTATTTGAAAAAAAAAATAGATTTAGTTTTAGATAGTACTACGTATTTTGAAATTGTGGTAATAAGTGATGTCAAAATTAAAACCAAAACAAAAATTTAAAAAAAATATATTTTATATAACATTTTAAAGGCCTATATATCCTCTTCTCAGATCATATTTGATCTTTGAAATCGAATTAAAAATAGTCATTCAAAAACTCATAAATCTACAAAATCGTATTTTCTGACCTAAATCGACAGGTCGCGACCTATAAATGACCTTTAAAAAATCTATAAAAAAAAGGCAATAATATTTCTTACTTTTATTTACTTCACGTTTTGCAATCGTAAATATCACTGTTGCCAAAACTTTTTGGGCCAACCGGCTAAATTGGCAAAAAAAAAACGGCTAAACTGTTATTTTTAATAAATGATAGGTAGAAAGACTAGTTCTTGGAGATAAGTTGCAAATTCAAGCTGGAAAAAATTTTGCCAGCAAGAATTTGCAATTGGGAAAAACATGTGATTGTGGCTCATGGTTGAATTTGTTGTCGACGATAAAAATTCTATACAAATTTCTTATGTTTGAAATGCAACAGTGGACACTAGCGTTCGCGCAGAAATGTGCAAGTTTCTCTACTTGAGAGGGATTTTGGGAGCATCTTAACGCGTGTTAAGCAAACAGTGAAACTATTTGTTATTTTCTAAGTTTGCGAATAAAATTTCACACTTAAATTTAAGTCATTCATAACAAACATTTTATGAAAAAAATCTCCGCTACGGCCTTCTTTAGAAAAAATATATTCGTTTAAAATAAAAAACAAGCGGAATCGGCCCAATTTTATATAACCCTACCTGACATGAAAATTTTGGCCCCTATTATGAGTTGCATTCGATTTTCGACTGTGGTCGAAAGTGCTGAGCGAACGAATTTTCATTTGGTATTATGGCGTTCATTCGATGAAGAATAGCGCTATTGTGAATTTCGCTCGTTTAGGTTGTTCACAATAGTATATTTTTCACCGCTGAGAAGCTTTGTTTACAAATCGAGCAAACAAATAGTGAGCTTATACATATTTATGTAAATTTGTTCTAATTAAAATGAAGTAAAAAAGAAAGCAAGCTTATAAAAACGTGGTAAAATGAGTACAACGAGTTCTGGTTCAACGATTCGTCAGAGGATGAGAGCTTAGTAAACTGGCCAGGAGTAGCAAATGTTTAAGAGAGTTTAAGTTTATTAGCCTTTTGAATATATTTTGATATAAAATATATTTAAGAAATTTGTCTACAGATTCATTAAAAAGTTCCGACCATCTAAAGAGGCGTTTGTGAGCCAAATCTATTTAAAATATTTTAAAACTATCAACAGCGCTACGATTTTGTTCTCAGAGATCGCGCCAACAGAGTATTGAGATTTTCTTTCACAAGTAAAACCAGCTTTTCGAGCTTGTGTTTAGTATTCACGATGTTAGAACTGCATGAAATAAATAAAAATTGTTTAAAATTAGTGTCTAGCCGCCAAAATGTAAGAAAACATATACAAAATCATACATTTTTCACAATTTTCTAACACTTCGCTACACCATCGAAAGCAAAATTCTGTTCGACAGAAAATTCGATACTCAACGAAAATTTCGACACGCTTGCATAGCTCATAATACGAATTTCACTTTCGATCTTCGATCTTCGATAGCC